TTTTGACCATCTACCACTGAATGGTTTGAGGATCCTTCCAAGATTTAGCCTTCACATCAAGGCTTCACATCAAGCAGGCATATATTACAGTGACTTCGGAAAGACGTCGACATCAATCCATGGACCTGAAGCTGCTTTGAACCCCCCCATCGGCCGTGGAGCGGACAGACCCAGTCCAAGGCAGACCCGTGTGGCGGGTATGACCCATTGGGGACCGACCCAAAGCGCTGCCCCGTTCGTAGCGTCCGAACGCTCCTAGTAGTACGGCAAGGAGCCCCGTTCGTAGCGTCCTTGTTCCTATTTGCGATGCCAGGAGCCCCTATAGATAGTTCAGATAGTAGCTACTTGCTCCTAGTAGTACGGTCAGGAGAAGGTGCTGATTTTCCCCTCGGACTTCCGATTGAAGCAGCAAGAATGGTCTGAGTTGGCATACAGATCGAAGCACCTTGGATCCAGCTTGAAGGGTGTAATTTTATGACGTTTTTGACGTTTTTGCCGTATCAACATCGAATCAGGTTCGCCAGGGGAGGCCTTAAGGTGGTGCTAAGTGTTTTATACTCTCGACTCTTGACTGATATTTGATATGACTGTATTCAATGTGATGCAAGACCTTGCAACAAAAGAAATACACACATCAGAGATTCAGGGAAGCTGGCTGTGTGTTGGGGTATGCTGGTGTTTGCTTCATTCAAACTTCTTGCTTTTGCTTATTGCAATCTAATAACCCATGGCTTTTCAATGAACAAGGAACGAGATAGATTTGGTATCAATGACGTGTCTAGTTGAAGCACCTTGATTTCGTCTCTACTTTGTAGTTTGGACGCAGAAAAAAATGGGTGCTGTGATTCAGTCAAGAGAGGCCTTCACATACAAGGGTTTTGATCATTGTATATGCTTGAGGACAATGCCAGCCTTTTGTCGTGCTTTTTTGATGTTGCCATTTGGTGTCGCCGTTTGCGCATCTGGCATATTTACCGTTTGTTTGCACAGTGTGTGAGCCTTCTCTGTCTATGGTGGCACATGATTTGTGTTGAAGAAGCGAGCTTCTAGAAAGTGGGCAAGGTTATCACAATATGAATACAAGCCGTTCAGGGCCGTTCAGTGCTGCGTTGCACACCTTGCATGAGAAAGGCTGTTCTTTTTGCAGAGGGTCCAAACCTGTGAAAAAGACATATGGGGCTATTTGCGATGGATTCAATGAGCATGCTGCAGAACTTGTCTACTCCCATTTAGTTTAGAACATCTGACTTTTAGTGCTGCTTGTTCAGGCACCAGATTAGCAATTGTTGCTTTCAAGACTTGCCTTTGTATTGCATAGGTGAGGAGGTAATTGAGAGAGCTTGATTGCTACTTTGTCGGCTTGTTGTGCTGTTGGAATCTCATGGCCACATTCTGTTTTTTTTTTCCCGTAACTGATTTGGAACCTATTGAGTGATTTTTTGTTTTTAAGTTTGGTCTCATGTTCAGGTCCAAAGAGAACGAAGCACGAAACATCGGACCAGCGAGTGATGAAAAAACATATATTCCTTATATTCCTTTATGATCTCATGTTTGTGAGTGTTCTTTTTCAGCCTGGCCCATAGACAAAAACACCATGATTCGCAACCTTGCCTGATTGTTGATAACATGATCTTGGAGTGCGTTTGGTGTGTGTGTGTTTCCAACCCGTTGTCCATTGGTCTCCTGGCGTTGTTTTTCTCCCCGTTCCCAGGCTTTGCCTTTGTCCGGACGGTGATTCGCCGAACACTGGGCGACTGGTGGAGGTGATCATGCATGGCTGTGTGCCGTTGATCATCTCCAATCGACTGCAGCCCCCTTTTCACAAGGACGTGAGCCGAGTGAGCAGAGTGAGCGGGGTACTTTTCGTGTTGGGGGGCTGCAGGTTGGGGTGAATGCTGAGAGGTGAAAGGAGTTTTTCTTTTCTGGAAACAGCGGTACGGATCAGTAAGATTCTTGTTGCAGAACAAACCGTGAACGTTCGATGATATTCGATGTTTCTTTGGGACACTATCAGTATTGAGATTGAGACACTTACAGGTATTCTATCAAATAGGAATTGTCCCTTTCATCTAGCTCACTAGCTGGTTTCTCATAAGACCTCCAATCCTGCCACAAAGAAAGCATGGGCGCTTTTTTTGGTGCAAAGTGGCTAGGTTGACACGTGCCACTCATGTGACAAACAAATCAGGTTGGTCTTCCAATATATAGGTACTGCCTGCCTTGTTGAAGACCAACCAAGCTTCAGTTCACGCCAGTTGTGGCTTGCAACATGTTATGATATGTTATGATTATATACTACTGTACTTCTTTCAACTGCATGACGCTACATGCACTCCACGAGGCCGCTTAGTTAAAGGAAATCCAGCCTTCTCCGTGCAGTATTCGCTTCGTTTGCCCTTGGGTGACGGCAAAATCGCCACCAGTGGCACCATTCCAGGGGAAAATCATAGTATCATACTCATGTGCGATCCATATAGAAAATTTGAACATCTAATGCGTACCCCCCCCCCCCCGAAAACGTTCTGAAAGTCTGTTCATTGATTCCTTTGGCTTTTTGAGTGTAGAGAACACAACGGATGGACCACCACACGTAGGACATGTCATTGTACTTTCTTTGTGTCTTCTCACTTGTTATGTTGGGTTATCTCGTTTTGCTTGGAATATTTTATATACATTACCAACCCTACTCTATGGGGTGCTTCTGCAGCGGTTTTGCACATGAGAGTGGAAACCTCGTCTTCGCTTGCCAGTACTTTGATTGGTCCAAGATTGCCTTCTTCCTGCGGGAGGACGCCATTCCACGCTTGTTTTGAGACTCAGACACTGTGCCGTGACGGATTTACCGCGCCTTCAATGTACGTTGAAATATCTTTAAAATGCCGAAAGCAAGTCTCTTCTACAAAGCAGTGCTTTTTGGGAGGCACACATGGATCCTTTAGAAGAGTATCAGTATCACAGAAAGAAAAAAGTGACGAGAGTATCACTGAATCACCAACGCAGAGCAGAATGGGAGATCGCACCTAGACCTGGTTTGTATGTCCCAGTCGATGGAAAACAAAAAAAGGTATTCAAGACCGGATACAAATTCCTAGTGAGCCTAGTGACCTAGTGTTCTGTCTTGAGTCCTGGAAGGGCCTTTTCGTCTGCACGGGAACTGCCGAAATGAGGCCAGCGATCCTAGCAGAACAGTTCTCAGGCGGACGAGCTTCAGTAGCGGTACGAAACAATTCCAGGTATGAATCTAGTGAAACCTCTTATTCACCAGTTGCTTATGTTGTTGCTTATTCAGGGGTTCATGGATTCATTCCAGGTTATCCGATGCATTTATGCATCATACTGTACTGTGCTATCTATATGGGAATCTTGTGTTAACTGGTATGATTCCACAGATATGCGCGGATCCGCCATGAACTACCTATTGTAGGAGTGTCCTTTTGTGGCCCATATTTCTAGCAGTTTTTACTGTCATGGTGTAGGCATGTGTAGGCCAATGTGCGTCAACAGTATCCTTGCCCAATGAAGAAGGTACACACCTAGCTGTTCTGCATCAGGCAGAGTCGTACACGGAGAGTCAGTGAGATCATTCCTGCAGAGTCGTGTGGCAGTTGGTGGCAAGAGCGAACGCACCACCTGTGGTTTCAGTGTGCAATGAAATCGATCAGCCGGTTTGCTCTAAATTTCTAAATTCTGTTGGTTTAAGTTTGCTGCAACAGTGGTTTCTTTATCGGACATATGGGTCCAGTGTTTCTCTCCCGAAAGCAGTGGTCACTGGTCTTGGTCGGCCTGCAAGGCCCCTCGGGTGATCGACGCATCCTGGAGAAGAGGACGCTGCTCCGACAAGTGACTTGGGCGAGAACGAAGCAGGGTTGAGTTTACACCTGTGCGTGGGAGACAACATTTACAACAGTACGAAAAAACGCAACTCGTGCACTGTTGTATGGTGCCCCTTTGCTGGTGTTTTTCAGGTTTGGTGTCCGTGTTTCGGAATCCAAACGGGACAGCAAGTAGAAGGGGAGTACCTGTACACGGTGACCATGTAGTTCAGAGGAGGTATCTACGGTATGTTGACAGACTCGACTCGATGAACCTGTTGGAGGATGATTGATTGGCCTCCCAAATGTTCACAAGAAAGTTTTAAAGTGGTTGGGAACAGGTAGAACAGGGTTCCTTACACGAGCTGGCCTTCTTTATATAAATATCATGTCCAATTCACATTGAGATTGCTTGTCGTACCAATTGGTGTTTGGTTCACAGCTTTGGCACTCTTTCCTCCCCCTGCTGTGAGCTTTGATTTCAGTTCTTGTTCTCCTTTGGAAGAAGGTCCGTCGTTGATCGTTTTGAACAATGGGCCACAGCATTGTGGAATATTCATGAATATTCTGGATAATTACCGATGTTCACTGTGGTAGCATTGCCGCATTGCCACTTCAACTTCGTGCAGGGCATTGCAAAAGCACTGCCAAACTAGATTGACATTGACTACGTATGACTAAGTAGAAACAACCTACTTTTGAGAGATCCCACTCCCGGCGCAGATGTCACACTTGTGTGACTACGCTCGCGATGGCATTGGCTCTACGCTGCTTCTCGCATTGCGAGTTCGGGAACTCAGAGGGTGGTCAGACGGTAGAACACATGAAGAAATGGAACATCCAGTGACGGGTGGAAACTAACTCTCAAACAAAGACGTTGAACCGCACGATAGTACACTATTGGTACACTGTACCAAGAGCCCTCAAAACCATGAAAAAGGAAGGTTTTATGTTACAACCTGCTTTTGTTGGGTCGTGGCTTGAAAACCCGGTTTTTGGATCATGGCCCCATGACAGGTTTTACATGGATAGAGGAGATCTTGGTTCCCAAAAGCCCTCCACAACTCATCTGCGGCCGTTTCCCATCCACACCCGACGCGGCTCCAACGGCTCCAAGCACTGGACTGACCAGTGGCGGCCTCAGCTACCCTGGGGTGGCCTGGACTAACATAGTTAGATCAGATCTATTCATCTAATTATCTTTGGTGCTGAGCTTTCTTGCTCTGCACCCCGCATGGCCAAAAATGACCGCTGTAACACACGCAAAGACGTCGTTCTTGGGTTGACCCGTCTGGACAACCGGCTTGGCCTTCCCACGTAATCCTCCTGGCACTGACAGGCGAACAGAAGAGGACTCACACACCACTGAGACTTCTGGGACTGCCTTAGCAAGTCCAGGCACTGATGGTGCATGTAGTGGCCTTTTGGGACGAGTGGAAATCGTTTTGCCGACCTCTGGTAAGACAGCATCGCGAGTTCAGCGTAAAGGCGCAAGAAGCAGAGACCTTCCCTTGCCAGCCTCCCAGCTGTCCCAGATGAGATGAACAAGCCCTCGTGATAAAGACCACGGAGAAAGTTGTTCAGCGAAGATGTTGCCTCAACCTCAGCTGGGGCTGGGGCCACGAATCGCTTTAGAAAGAAGGCCTGTCTGCCAACAAATATGAACAACAAATTTAAGAAGACACACAAAACCTTCTTCGCAAAAGCCCATGCTTGCAGGAAACGCACTTCAGGTATAGCGGATCTTGGGTGTTTCCAACAACGTTTCGGGCACAGTAGTCCTCGAACCAACAAAGAATGAGCCTTGTAAAGTCCCCTTTGCTCCAACCTGCGTCTGGGCAATCCTGAAAGCTGGCCTCCACACCAAAAAGGCTGCTGGTGAGCCTCTTGTGGTATGGTGACTCACGGTGCTCAGAACAGTATGTGCGGAAGTCCTCCGTCAGAGTTTGAAACGCCTGCTGCAACGACTGTGGCACCAGTTCTAGGATCGTGCAAACGGCGGAGCTAGCATAGTACTTTCCAATGCCCAAGTGAACATTGTGAAACAGGTCCCATTTGAACATGGCTGAGCCATCACCATCATCATAAGGTATTGCCAACAGTGCTGATGGTGTGGTGTAAGCTGCAACTTCGCCCTCAGACTGCAACCAAAAAGGACGTTCAACACCGTACTCTTCGAAAGGCATCGCAGGAATCCTTGACTCATCTCCCGCGGAGCATTGATGGCAGATTCCAGTGCAAGGCTTTTTGCTTTGCGCCCGTGTGGGGCGACGAGTAAAGCTGCGATTGAACCTGCCAGCTTTCGCAAGAAAAGGCGCATCGCCTTTAACCCCAAGGCAGCACACATAGTAGTGCTTGTCGCGGATTGCAACTCCTTCGAGGAACAAACTCTTGAAGTCACGCGCTTGCACTTCCAGCATCTGGTGGAAAGCTGCCTCGCACTGGGAGTAGAGCTGAATGGGTAGCACACACAAAGGAAAGTGTGTTCTCATCGTAGATCCAAGCATGTTCAACTTCAATGGATCCGCTGATGTGCCAGACAGCCCATCAAGGTGCGAAGAAGGTCTACTTCCCTTGCCTAAGCAGCCATGGCTCGACAGCACCATCAACTGTTTCTTTTTCACTGAACGCCCTTCATCACCATGGAAAAGGACAGGGATGCAGCGACTCAGCTGCAGCACACCTGCCCTTGCTCGGCTGTAGATCTTGTGCTCGGGATGAACTTGCTCGTATCTGCTCCAAAAGATGGACAGGCGTCGTTCCATCTCACCAACGTCCTTGGTGCCCACAAGCAGGTCCAAGTCATCGTTTTCGACGAGCTCTTTGAGCCAGTCCCGGAACAGGATGTGTGGCATTCCAGACTTGGTGGGCAGGTCTATTTTCGAAATTTTGACTGACATCGACTGCCCAAACTGCTGGAAAACTTTGTGGCTTCCTTCTTCGCTCTTCTTGAGCTTCACCTTTGCCAGAGCCTGCAAGCCCTTCGAACGAACCCGCGTCACACGAGCTTGTCGTATCACATCACGGCAAGGCACCTCAGCACAGCAAGCTGGCTAAAGATTGCACACATGGGCCATGCGCATGCGGAGGAAGTAGCGTGAACAAAGAAACTTGAGAAATTGCGATGTGCTAGCTCTTTCCGATCTATATAGCTATCTATTTTTGTTGATCCTTACTGCACGCTACTATAGATATAGATGGCACATTTGCATGTATGTCTTTTCCACGCAAGACCTGGTGCGCCACCGTGAGGGATCGTGAGGGGCGTATGTGGCAATCCTGGATTTGTTGACAATGTCTTTGCATGGTCTTAAGCGGTCAAGGGAAAAGCCTTTGTTTGTAGCAAGATTCCCCATGGTTAATGTTGTACTTTTGAGAGGGCTGTAGTAAATTGAGGGCGTTCACTGGGGCTTAATTCACCGCTAAATCTTGTGATTGGCCGCTCTTCCAGCCCAGCTTGACCCAGTGGTGAAGTCTTGAGAGGAAGTGATCATGGCAGGACTTGGGTCAGTGGAGAGGCAATTGAACATAGTAAATCACATGAATGTTTTTTTGGCTTCCCCGCAGCCAACACTTGGCAATCCTTTCAACCCCATTTGAGGGCCCCAAGACTTACCTTCAAACTTGACCAGTGTTCCCACGGCCACCCGCATTGAGGGTCAAACCCCATTGCCAACCATGCGGGCGAAGCCATTCAGTTCAGGTTCTCCACCTGGCATGGCTTCAGCCCTCCACTCGGGCAGAGGCGGGAAAAACACTCGAGGGACACAAGCAAACCTGACTCTTTTCTCACCATTCATCTATGCACATAGTTCCATGTCACAACTCCCATTGATTTGCAGTCAGGGAGCCAAAGTTGTGATTAAGTGAACAGCGCGTCAAATAACACACTGATCTCCCATGTTCATCAGCCCTTCGGAAAGCAAAATGTAAGATTGTATACGGTTATAGTATTAACTATGTGTGTTGGACCTTGTTGTTCACACGTGGTCGCTCAGGGCTGGCCAGCAAAACTCCAGTGCATTGCACTGCACAAATCCAAGCTCAAGCTTTATGGCGGTGCAGACTCCTTCTTCTTTTTCTTCAAACTCTTCTCCAGAGCCCTGAATGGAAAGCTAATATTTGAGAGCAAAGCAAAAGGGTATATCACAGATCAGCTTGAAAGCTCACAAACCTGTTCGCAGGCTAGATGCTTGGCTTGGGCCTCAACCGAAGCCATCGCCGAAGCCCTTAGATACTGAGACATCTGGGATCAGTAGAAGAAAGGGAGAGGTCTAGATATCTATAGGCTTTGAACATCTTTGACCCAAAGAAAAATAGTCTGTGTCGAGTTTCTTGCTCATCGCATCTCGCATTTTTGTTTTCAGATCAGCGCTGTTCCTGAGCAAAGCGCTCACCATTCATACCAATAATGAATGAGACTCCATGCATGCACTGGTTGGTGAGCACATGCAATCTATCCCATGTACCCTTCAAGTGCAACAGGCCCAATGCAACCTGGGGTCTCATTAGTTCGCTCCACATCCCCCAGACGCGTTTTGGCCTCAACAAAGGCGTCGTACGCCACCTGCGATGCATCCAGCTTCGCCTCCAAGGCCTTGATGGTCCTGAGCTGTGTCAACATGGGTTGGGACAAAGGGACTCGTAGAAATGGGACCACCATGCATGCCCATGTGCATATACGTATACAGATACCAATCCTTGTTGTTGATTTCTCAGGGTTGCACCTTCTAACCCGCTCTGCATCATCCCCCTGGGTGTAGCCATCCAGCTTGGAGATTAGATCCGTAATCTTGCTCATTTTGGTCAGCATGCCCTCTTCAAACTTCTTCTCGACTTCCAAGTCCTGGGGCTCAACATAAATAGGTATAGCCCCCTATATATAAATGCATTGACAAACAAGCAAACAAACAGCGCTGAAGACAAACGTCCCCTTCATGCGGTGACTGCAGGCTGCCATTGCCCTCACCAGATGGTTCCGCTGGCGCTGGAGGCTCGAGGAAGCGAGCACCAAGTTCAACTTCGGAGTTAGCCTGCATGAAAAGTGTAGCGAAAGATGTTCGAGTTACTTCATTCTTTTCTTTGAGTTTGAACATTGTTGAGAACTCAGTCCACTCATGCAGCACTTGCATGTGCATGTGTTGACACATGTCGCACGGCCTCTCCCTGTGTTGTGTGCCTTTCCATTTCCGTCCTTGACTTTGCCGATGACTCCTTGTCTTCATACTCCACGAAGTACCTGTAGACCTTGTCGCTGTACTTGTCCTTCCTGAAAGATGTGAGAAACACACCTGTGGTTGAGCAACACTGCAGCAGATTGCAACATATAAAGTCTCACATAAAGTGCAACCATAGTCGCTTGACCAAGCCATGTTTTTTGCAATAGGCAACGGCATCTTTAATGTAGGCCCTGCCATGCAGGCATGGCCAATGTGTTTGAAAATCATGGCAGTATAATCATGCATGCACAGGTGGTATGCATTCGAATGAAACCACAGCCATGACCATAAATCAATTGCAACACCAAGCTGCGCACTCCAACCAAGCTTGTTCTTCATTTCCTCTGGCGTGAACCATCCCGAGAGAACTTCCTGTGTTTGGGTGTTCTTGCGCTCGATGACCCTCAGCATCTGGGATACGAATTTGTCCTGCGCATGACTCACGCAGCTGTGGACGGGACAGTTGGCTGGACCAACGTATATATTGTTAAAGCGCCCTGCAAAAAATAACTCATATTCATTGTGACCTTTATATCAGCACAGAAACGAACCCCGAAGCTTCGATCCTTATCAAGTTCATAGACCATGAAGGCTTTGCGAAGCTCGTCCCGGGCAGCGCCGCCTGCGCGCCATTGCTTTGCAATGCTCTCTGGCACATTGCACCGTCCAGACGGCTTTGTCTCGCAAAGACGGCGCAACTTCGCATCGATCCTGTTGTACTCTTTGAGTGCTGCCGTATGACCATCACAGTCACCATCATCACCATCCTCCTGCGAACTGGTTGGCAAATATAGTGGATGCAAACACGGACACAAACACACACACACACACTCCATGCATGAAAGTGATATCTTCAGACTGGTTTGTCCTTGGCGGTGGAACCACCAGGAGTCTTACCACCAGCAGGCGTCGTAGCTGCTGATGAAGGTGGGGATCTGGTGGTACGAGTTGCAGGGGAAGGAGTGCCAGTCGAGGAACCCTTGAGGGACTCGATCTCCTTCATGGCTGCATCGAGTTTCTTCTGCAGGTCCATCACCATGGAATTCCCACCATCCTGCATATACAGAATCAGGCAAGCAGAAGCGCCTGGATATAGATTCTTTTGAACCAATATATATGTATAATTTTCTTACGTATCTGTCCAGTTGCACATGCTTGCACCCACTCTCGAGCCCACCCAGTTGAAAAACAATGCCCACTGTCCTCCACATAGGCCTTCGGTGAGGGCCTGCTCTTCACCGAAGCTGGAACCTGCATTTCTCACACGTTCGTATATATACGCAGGGTCCACTGCAACCCTATGAGTTGCAGCAACTATAGTGAAAGAAACGGTGAATGGTGCTAAGTTTGGACCTGGTTTAATTAGGAGAGAATGGACATCAACTGACACCTTTGCGCTTGCATGCTTCAATGCGCAGTTCAACACATTCCCGCACTTGGGTCCCTTACGCACGCCCGCTTTGGAGGCCCTTTGACCGGAGTTGTCTTTGTCAGTTCTTCCGCTGTGGCCTTGGAGGGTGAGAGGTGGTTTGACTCACTGAAACAACTTGTGTTCTCTTTATTTTCTTGAGCATTGGTCCTGGATTGGGCAAGGGGCAGGTGGCGTTTCCACTTCTGCAGCAAGCTCGCTTTCAGGAGGAACCTTTACGAAGAGGTGGCTATGGTAAATTTAGTGACATCCAACGACAACAGTTGGAATCAAACATACATACAGTACACATCATGCCCAATAGCTGGATCTTGCAAAGATAGCTGTGCCAACTCTTCCTCCAATGCCTGCATTCGAAGGTTGATGGCACGTGTTTCCAAATGCCCAGAGAAAGAAACAAGTTCAAGGTCACTCAACCCTATCCCAACCTTGCGTTGCGCAAGAAGCACCGCTCTTCGATCAGGGGCCTCCATCTTAGCCCTGAGAAGCTCCTCGTTTCCAGCGGCTAAGGAACCACAGCTCCACTGCCTGGACTCGAAGGCCTTGTTCATTCAGGGGGACGGGGGCGATGGTAGCGATAGACTGATCCAGCTGGAGATCAGAAATGCAAGAATCCACACTTTGATTCATGTACATGTGCGACGTCAAAAAAGAACATGGCTGGAGACAGCACAAGATGTAACTGTATACCTGTTGGAAGTTCCCAGTTTCTCATACGAACAAAGCACTGGAATCATCGAAGCCCTTAAAGGTCTTAATTAAGGCTTTGCTCACCTGTCGTGCGACCTGGAACGCTTGGATCAGGCCAAGAGCTGTCCAAAATCAATCAAAACCCAACATCCCCGGATGTCTGAAACTACGGGTAGACTACGTAATTTCCTACGGTTTTTTATGGGTTGTCAACGGGGTTTTTATGGGTTTTCTACGGCTACGTTTTTTTTATGGGTTGTCAACGGGTAAAAACCTGGTTTTCCACTCACTGGCCTGTTCCAGCGCTAAAACGGATCACAACCTATTGCTAATTTGCAAAGTGCCAACCTGTGATCTCACAAGTCTTCTGGCATTAGGTGACCCCTCCAACTCTCTGGGATGCGGAGATTGACATTCCCACGGAGGTATCTCAAAACCTGTGGCACCGCTGCATCGGTCCAAAGGTCGGTGAAATCCTGCTCCATATAGCAGCGCAGTGGGTCGAATTTGGGCGGTGGCTCAGGAAAACTCCGGCAGCCCGTAGCTTGGAGTTGAGGTAAGATACGCAAAACCCGCAATCCAAATCTGAAAGGGTAGCACCTCAGTATTCTAGGAAGCAGGGACATGAGACCTCAGGCAAGTAAACCATCCAAGGATACGTTATATATATATAGTCCACCATGTATAAGAATGTAAGACCCTGCCAAACCAAACGACTTTCTGGTCACAACCATATGGTCTTCGATTTGCATTTTAGGTATAAGGAAAAACTGGTTGAGAAGATACACAAATATGGTTTGGTCCCTTTTGGTTTTGCCGTGCGAAGGTGGTCGAAAGAGGTATATCAATGTTACGTATCGTACACATAGCTATTACATATAAATTTGTTGTGGCCCACATTCATCTATAATTATGAATAAGCCTGTTGCAGGCAAGAGCTAACACGCTTTTTCGAGGTGCCCGTGGAGAGGGATGGGGGAATGTTTGAGGAGTTTGTTATCTACAGTGCCCCGGTGTAAGGAGTCAGCAGCTCTATAGACATTCATTTTGTGCTGGCTTGGGTTGAAAACTTACATGGAAGTCCACATGGGGTCTCTGAGTTGCTATCGGGTCACTGAGTTGCTTTGAGCTGCTTCCGGTTGCCATTGAACCTGCGTTTCCCATCCTTGATGACAGTGGTTGCAGTGCGGTGCTGCTGGTATTCTGGGCAGTTCAAATTGAATTTTCTCAGCTTACCCAAATCCAGCAGGCAGATCTTCTTTGAAGAAGACCATGCTATGTGACGCTTGGGCGTTTTGGATTTGTAACACCCCATCCACCAACGGGTGCTCCAAGCCTCGGCTGTTTTCAAAAAGGCGGAACAATAAGCAAAACCACCTGGGAGGACAGCGCAGAAACTCCTCGTGAAAAATAGCTCTTCAACTTAGTCACCCGTAGGCTGGAAAATGTATCCATGACCCGTGGATGAAATCTGAGCATGCTTAGCGAAGGCTGCTCCACCACCCAGCAGCCTCCCATGGCCTCCACGGCGAAAAGCAAAAGGCACAGCCTGGGCGCCGAGCTGTGGGTTGAGGTGGTGGGAAACAGGAAGCAGAAAGGTGAAATTGAGAAAACCACCATTTGAGACACATGTGAATCTAATCGAGCACCAAAACACCGACACGCCATCACATTGGCTTGTTGGACATATTCTCGATGGTCCCACCCCAATGGAGTAGTTACAGTCCGCCCTGATGTATACATGTTGATAGTTGTCCAAGAAGAGCACACTATAGCCATCAATGATGTGAAGGCTCCACTCTTTGCATTGAGGATGGTAGCCATGGCCAGCCTCATATATAGCCATACCAGAAATTAACGCCACAAAACAAGGAAATTCAA